TGAAGCTGGAACAAAAAATGTTAAAATTTGTAGAGAAACAAAGAAGACCCCAGACAGCTAAAACAATCTTGAAAAAGAAGGATGGAGCTGGGAGAATCACAATCTCTGACTTCAGACTATACTACATAGCTATAGTAATCAAAACAGTATGGTACAGGCACAAAACAGAGACATATAAATCAATGGAACAGGACAGAAAGAAATACACCTATGCACTTATGGTCAATTAATCAATGACAAAGGAGGCAAGAATATACAATGGAGGAAAGTCTCTTCAATAAGTGGTGCTGGGAAAACTGGACAACTACTTGTAAAGACTGAAATTAGAACATTCTCTAACACCATATACAAAAATAAACTCAAAATGGATCAAAGACCTAAATGTAAGACCAGATACTATAAAACTCCTAGAGGAAAACATAGGCAGAACATTCTTGGACAAAAATCTTAGCAATATATTTTTTGAACCAGCTCCTGTGGTAATGGAAATAAAAGCAAAAATAAACCAATGGGATCTAATTAAACTTAAAAGCTTTTGCACAGCTAAGGAAACCATCAACAAAAAAGACAATTTACAGAATAAGAGGAAATATTTGCAAATTATGTGACCAACAAAGGACTAATTCCCAAAATATACAAACAGCTCATACAGCTTAATATCAAAAAAAGCAACCCAATCAAAAAATGGGCAGAAGACCTAAATAGATGTCTCTCCAAAGAAGACATCCAGATGGCCAACAACTACATGAAAAGATGCTCAACATCACTAATTGTTATGGAAATGCAAATCAAAATTAATGAGGTATCACCTCACACCAGTCAGAATAGCCATCACTCAAAAGTCCACTAACAATAAATGCTGGAGAGGGTGTGGAGAAAAGGAAGCCCTCCTACACTGTTGGTAGGAATGTAAATTGGTGCAGCCACTATGGAGGACAGTATGGAGGTTCCTTAAAAAACTAAAACTAGACTGCTGTATGATCCAACAATCCCACTCCTGGGCATATATCCAGAGAAAAATATAATTCAAAAAGACACATTCACCCCAATGTTCTCAGCAGCAGTATTTACAATAGCCAAGATATGTAAACAACCTAAATGTCCATCAACAGATGATCAGATAAAGATGATGTGGTGTGTATGTGTGAGAGATATATATATATATATATTATATATGTATCATGGAATACTATTCAACCATAAAAAATAAAATAACTATTTGCATAACACGGATGGACCTGGAGATCGTCATTCTAAGTGAAGCAGAAAGAGAGAAAAATGTATGTATGACATTGCTTATATGTGGAATCTTAAAAAAAGGACACAAATGAATTTATCTGCAAAACAGAAACAGGCTCACAGACATAAAGAACAAACTTGCGGTTACCAGGGGTTAAAGGGGGTGGGAAGGGATAAATTGGGAATTCAAAAATTGCACCTCTTGGGGAGTGATGGAAATGTTAGCTATCTTGATTGTGGTGGTGGTTTCATGGGTGTATATGTCTGTCAAAATTCATCAAATTAAAAAAAATACATTTTGTTAAGGTCATGGCTGCCATGGATATTGCTCTGATGGATCTGGGCAAAATCAGTTGAAAATTTCTAGAAAGGATTCACCACTCTAGAGGCCATTAAGAACATTACTGATTCATGGAAAGATGCCAAAATATCAATGTTAACAGGAGTTTGGAAGAAGTTTCTCACTCTCATGGATGAATTTTAGGGGTTCAAGACATCAATAGAGGAAGTAACTGCAGATGTAGTAGAAACAGCAAGAGAACCAGAATTAGAAATAGACCCTAAATATGTGACTGAATTGCTGCAGTCTCATGATAAAAATCCAACTTTGAGGAGTTGCTTCTTATGGATGAGCAAAGAAAATAGTTTCTTTAGATGGAATCTACTCCTGCTAAAGATGCTGTGGAGAGTGTTGAAAAGACAACAAAGGATTTACAATGTTACATAAACATAGTTGCTAAAGAAGGGGCAACTGATTGAGAAGTCTCAGGCAGATGAGCAGTCTGCATGATCTTTTGTCTTTGATAAAATGACTGAAGAGGAAAATGATGCTTATGACTTCAGTACAGACAGAACTTTGTCCTTAAAAAAGAAAAAAGAAATGGGACACAGTTTGAGAGGATTGATAGATTCCAATATTGAAAGTTCAAGTTCTACTGTGAGTAAAAAGCTTTCAAACAGAAATGCATGTTACAGAGGAATCATTCATGAAAGCAAGAGTCAATCCATGCAGTAAACTTTGCTGCCTTACTTTAAGAAATTGCCACAGACACCCCAACCCTCAGCAACCACTGCCCTGAAATGTCAGCAGCCATCAATATTGAGGCAAGACCCTCTACCAGCAAAAAGATTACAATTCTCTGAAGATGGTTAGCATTTTTTAGCAAAAAGTATTTTTTAACCAAGGCACATGTATTCTTTTTAGACATGCTATTGCTTTTAACACAGTACAGTGTAGTGTATGCATAACTTTAAATGCACCGGCAAAACAAAAAATTCGTGTAACATGCTGTATTGAGAGATTCGCCTTATTGCAGTGCTCGCCTTATTGCACAGTATCTCCAAGGTGCACCTGTACTGCTCTAATTTTCTTCATAACTGACTACTTTCTCAAATTATATTCTACATTTGTTCATTTTTTCCCTCTGCCAAAACATATGCTCTATAAGGACAAAGATTTTGTCTGTCTTACTAAAAACTGTATCCCTCACATCTAGACACGGGACATATAGTAGACACTCTAAAAATACTTGCTGAATGAGTGAGTGAAACAAACTTGTAGGAGATTTGAGAAATACTAATAAATATTAACGAAAAAAGAAGGGAAGCTAATAAATACATGAGCTGATGACAAAAACCCTTTTGGACTGAAGCAGTTTTTGTTTGAAACCTAAGAGGGCATACATTGTTCCCTGAGGTTCGTGCAAGTTTTGATCTCCTAACGCTGAGTCAAATGGATTTATTTTCACAAAATTGCACTGTGGGAATATTAGTAGATGGGGAGTCAGGAAAATCTGCCATTAACTTGCTTTCTGACTCTTAGCAAAATATTTCCTTTCTGTGGGACCTCAGTTTCCTCATTTGTCAGCGTACTAACGCTCTGAAAAGGCACTTTGTTTCCGCTGCTGTATCCTACTTTGAGAAGCTGGGCCCGAATAGGCGTCTAATAACTACATGCCGAGTCAATCAACTCACGAACAAACGAACAAAATGAGGATGCTGCACTTATCCCCGAATCTTGCTTGTGAAGAAGTATCCACTAGCAAATGAATTTAGTTCCCCGAGCACTTTCACATTCATATTGAGTTGCTCGTCCCAAACGAGTCATTTGTTTCCTGACACAACACAGCACTCGGTGCCTGTAACACAGGGTCAGTACTGTTTGATTAATAAATCAACGAGTGAAGGGGAAAGAGAGGATATTTTAGTTCTAAGATGAGTAAACTAAGGCCAAGAGAAGGGACTGGAACCTATCACTTGCGGAAACCGGCGCTGCAACTTCAGAACTTAGAACCCTCGGGCACTTTCTCGTCCTTTCCCTTGGTCAGGCGCAGAACCAGGGTCCCGAGTTAACAGCGCGACACTCCCTTTTGAATTCGCCCTTTCATCCTTCTCAGTTTCTCGCCATACTTTCCGTTAGCACAACCCACCGCCTAACCTTCTGCTTTACCTGAATTGAGACCAAAATTCTCTGCGTGGCGCCCCTAAGACTATCCACGTGAGGCCTCTTCTGGTAACGCCGGACAACCTGAGCGCCGCCATCTTCGAGGAGAGCTTCGAGCCAGCGCTTCGGACCAAGAGCTCCGCCCCCAAAGGACGCACCAAGATCAGCCAATCGCATGTAAGCTTAGTGGCCGATGTTCCTTTTTTCCTGTTAGGCTCGCCGGCGGCTCCCTCGCCCTTTGCACGCCGGGAACTGTAGTCCGGTAGCCGTTGTCGACGGAGGCTCGACCCAGGCGCTCTTTCAGAGCATGACGGGAGTTGTAGTTAGGGGGTGTCCCGGGAAGGTTCCGGGTGACGCCTTCTGGTCCGGGGGCGGGCGGTCAAAGCGCTCCTTGACTGAAAGGAGGGGGAACTGGCAACCGGGAGGAGGCTCTAGCAAGGCCTGGAAGGCTGCGCAGTCAGGCAGTGGAGGGAATTTGGGGGTGGAGGGTGGCCGAGTAGCGCTTGTGACATGCTACTGGGGTCGTGACCGCTCTGGGACCGAGGCAGGACCTGGCCAGATCCAGCCTGGAGGCCTCGCCTTCATCGGGCCTAATCTTCAGCGATCGGATAGGCCTTGACAGAGGCTCCTTTTCGTGCGGCCACCTCAGGTTCCCGCCCTGATTTTCTGTCCGAGACCGCGAGATGGCCTCCCGGAGCCCCCCGCCGGAGCCCAAGGTAAGTCGCCCCTCCGGGTATCCTCGTTCTTTCTCCACTACCGAGCTAGGCCGCGCCACCGCCCCCCCCCCCCACCTCTCGGGTCGCGGTCTTTAGAGCCAGCGCGGTGCAAGAAGTATTCCGTGGTGCACTGGGGTGCGATTCGCGATCAAACTGCCCACTGACTCCTTTTTTCAAGAGCAACCTGATAAACCATCTGAAGAAAATTAGTGATGCTCTCAACTACCGTTCTCATTTATGAATTCTTCTAGGTGAGGCACCTTTTTTGACCCTCCCCTGTGTCTTTTGCACCTGTCGCGATGCTTGGACCCAAGCTAGATGCTTAACGAACTTTACGAAATTGAATTGAAAAGAGTCTCAAGACAGTGCAAATAGTGAATTGGAACGGGGCAATGAGGTGCAGGAAACTTGGGAAGGCCTTGGGGCAGTTTACTGAAGTTAAAATATTAGGGCATAGTTAGTAAACCCAGAAAGCCTTATGCTTAGGCTCTTCTCTACAGAAGGCAAGGACCCAGCTCAGTTGGGCTCTAATTTGAGATGCCTGTCTGAATTCTGTCAGTTCCCAGAATTGGGCCCCATTTGGAACTCTTTAGGTATTTGTGTTCCTCCTAGCCTACCTGGCTCCGATAAGTGACTGCTTCTGCTACTTTTAGTGGTAGAATTGTCCTTGAGACAACAAGAACTGACTACAGAAATCGTACTATTTCAGGGGTTGCTGACATTTGAGGATGTGGCTGTGTTTTTTACCCAGGAGGAGTGGGATTATCTGGAACCAGCTCAGAGAAGCCTGTATAAAGATGTCATGATGGAGAATTATGGAAACCTGGTCTCACTAGGTAAGGATCTGCTGTTTCTGATGAAAATGTCTAAGAAACTAAGAAATCAGAACACTTGAACCTGTACCGTACCGAACTGCTTTGTTCCAAAGTTCTGATTCAAACCTCTCAGCCATGAATTGGTTCCGTGACTCTCATCCCTAGCATGCTTTCAATGACCAAAATATAAGCCTTTCTGGCTTCCTATCTTCATAATCTCATTCCCATATTGCTCTGTACTTTCCCTCCTGGCTCATCCTCCCACTGCTTTCCTCCCACCCCTTTTCACTCTGCCTTCTGGAGCCCCTGTTCCTCTTCACAAAATGTTCCCTACCCCTCCTGGCCTTAACTGAAACCTGGCACTTTCCCAAGGACACCACTGCTCTGGCAGGGGCTGCTTATTCTCCCACATCTTCTTCCTTCACCATCCTTTGTCTCAAGCCTGAACGGGAAAAATGATTGTTCTCCTAGCTTTTCAGAACTGTTCCCAAAGCACTAGTTTCTCACCTTGAAACAAAATTTCTCTCCTTTGAGGTCTCAGCAGTCTCACTACCCACTCAGTCCCTTTTCACTCTCATCTGTCAACTTTTTTTTTGGTCCCTAACACATAGACTTTGTCACATTTCAGAGTCTTCTCTATGCTAACCCACACCATCGAAGATGCAGTCATTACTTAAGCCTCACTGTATCTTGACCATATTTTCTTTAGGGATCCTGCTTTCCATTTTTATTCAACAACTCACATCAATGATCATACCCTCAATTTTGTCATAGCAGGCAAATCTTAAACCCCAATATATTATTCTTTGACTAATGGTCTTATGTTTATTCAGGCAGTAGATGTTTATTGACTGTAACTAAACAGAGGTGACCAAAACAGACATGATCTCTGCCCATGTGGAACTTACTATAACTTCCTACCTTTCTACCTCTCCTACTCCTATCCTATCAACCTATTTATTCTTAATGTTTCCTATTCCTTGACTTCTTTTCCCCCCAGGCTCTCAGTACCCCCCTGACCTCACCTCATCTACTCCATGGACCTGTATATAAATTGATCACCATCATGCTCCCCTGCTGCCTTGTCGTTACATTCTACCCATTCTGCAAACTTGACGTCCTGTGCTGGTTATAAAATCTGTCTTCTTTTCTCCTACCTGAATTGCTAAACACAGCAGAAGAAATTCTTTAACCAAAAGAATTGATGCCCTGTATATATGCATGGCTTCTCTTTCTTCTAGTCTCCAATTTTTTTAGTTTTGATTTACTCCTGTCCCTGATCCTTTTAGTGACTATTTCAAAAGCTGAAAAGAGTTTTCTTGGGTCCATCACTCAATGGTGGACATCACCTTCTGTTTCACAGAGAAGAGAGAGGCCACTGAACATGAACTCTCAACTTTTCTGCCACTCATCTGCATATTTAAGCTTGCCTAACTTTTCACATTCTCCAAGAACTCATCCATCTTCTTCTTTTTTTCTCTTATAGCTTTGGTCTCTATTTTTTCTCCCCTGCTACTTTATTCTGATGATAGATATGTTCATGGCTCTTCCAGTTGAGGCAAGAAGGACGGGAAGACCTCTCGTTTGAGCCAGTCTCTGTTGCAGCTCCCTGTAACCTAAAACTACTCGTTCACTTCACGGCCAAGTTTTTGTATCAGTAGTTAATGTTTGTTCTATATTTCTTTACCTCCCATTATCTCTAAGCACCACCTTCTTGCCTCTACCACTTGCCTTCAGTTGTTTAACATTGGTCTATAGTAACCCAACTGTCAAATGCAGTAGACGCTTTCTGGATTGTGCTTAATTCCACCTCTTTATAGATATTTGAAACTCTTTATTGCTTCCTTTCATTGCCTTGCATTCTCAGATTTCCTCTTAGTCTATATACTTTCCATGGCAGACCTTCTTGGTACTCAGGTCATCAGCTACCGCTACACAATGATAAGTCCCAAATCAAATCTTTATCTCCACCTAAGAGAGCTAAGCTGCCTAAGTAAAAACCCTGGTTCCACCACTTGCTAGCCTTGTGGTCATGGGTGAATGACTTCACCTTTCTGTGCTGGTTTCTTTTTTTTTATCAAATGGAAGTCATGATAGCACTTCCCTTTTAGGGTTATTGTGAGCATTAATTCAGTTAATATATGTAAAGCTCTTAGGACACTGACCGGCATGTAGTAAGTACAGCATAAATGTCGATTGCTATCTTTATCATCATTGTCATTATCTTTTCTGTTGAGCTTCAACTTCTTAGTCATCTTCTTTAGAAGATCACATAAGTAACCCACATGTGGCAAATCTCAGATGATCCATGAAGATCTCAAGGGCCTCCTCTTCAGAATTCAGCACTCCTTTCTCTGTGCTACCTTGCATACACTTCCATTGTTGAATTTATTACAGTGTATTATAATCATTTTTTATGTTACTTCTCTAAACAGACTGATCTTCATCAGGACAGTAACTATATATTTTTTTCATTTGATTTCTCCAGCACTTAACATAGAGCCAGGCATGTATTAAATGCTTCTTAAGTATTTGTGTGATTGAATGAATATAATTAAGACTCAGTACTTCTTGACAAGATTATTGCATTAGCCTATAAACTAGCCTCTTGCCTCCAGTCCCCCTTTCTTCTAATATAGTCTCTTTATTGCCACCAAAGTGATTTTGTGTTAGTTAACTGCTTGAAACTTCTGGTGATTCCTGATAGTTTAAAGGATAAAAATCTTAATTTCTTGTCCTATATACCAGGACCTCCCTATATAGCCCCTGCCTAACTTTCTAGCCTCATCCATTATTTCCTGCACACCACTTCAGTCTCCAGCCATATCAGCTGCTTTTTGTTTTTTGCTGGGTTTTTTGTTTGTTTTTTCCATTATGCCATGGTGTCTCTGAGTCACTGACAGCTTTAGCTACACATATGGTGTCCTGGTTGATAACACCAGGCAAATGCCCAGCCTTGCCTGTGCCTCGTACTGTAAAATGTGAATACCATATAGACAAAGGCATGACAGTGAGCCCATCTGTGATCTTCTACTTTCAGTCTCTATTTTAGCTGAAATACAGATTTTCGTCAGTTATTTCTCCTGCCTCCTGTATAGACTTACCTCCATCTCCTTGATGAGTGCTCCCTTGAAGAGAGATTACAGTTACTCAGTTATTCCCCTACTAGTGTTTCTCCTCCACTTCATCTTGTTGCTTTACTTTTAACACAATCTTCTAGCTTTGTAAGTTTGCCTCTTCAGTCATACCTACTCTTACAATGCTGATTTTTCTTTAAAAACTCTAATAACTCCATTGATGATACAGCTGACAGCTTGATCTCTCAGTTCTTGATCTTTCGTTTCTTTCAGTTGAAGTAGACTTCATCAGTTTTAACTGGCTCAGACTACTTGAGCCAGATTGGACCTTGACAGAACTGGGACTTGCTATACCTACAAGACCTTAAAATCAGTGTTTCTCTTCTTTGGTTATAGTCTCTCTCCAGTTATTTTTCCAACTACTCATTCACTCAATAAGTAGTTATAAAGCACTGTGCTGGGCCTAGGAATGCAAGTCCTGCTCCATTGTCTCATGCTTTTACCTAGAAAACTAGGAGAAATGCAGTTTGAGTCAACTGACTACTCTAGA